TATAGTTTTTCACACCAAAGAAACTATTCGGTATTTCAGTTAAAGAAATCTCTGTATGAACATTAAAAATAGGGAATCCTAAAATAAAACTAAAAAGGAAAGTAAAAGAGAAAAGGCAATGATGTAACATCAAGATAATCCTTAATTCTGGAGATGAAAATGGTCCCTGAACATATTTAAATTGCTTCTCGCTCTTATAGTCTTATCTTATACTTTTTTCATTATTTAGAGAATATTTTATTAGTTTCTGTAATCAAACCCACATAGATATGACCTTACATATTTAGTATGATGTGTTACCCCTGTACACATGGAAAAAAATAAACATTTCTAGACCAATATGGTTGTCCATTTCTGTACAATGTCGACTCAACACAGTAAATTGGGATGACTTTTTCCAAAGTTGGCAGCACCGTTAAAGTTTCCCAAAACTCAATTTATATCTATATCTATATATTTATATAAAGACTAATAATAGTATGTTATGCATCAGTAGCAGCAACAGCTTTTCCAGGTTCTGCAGTCATCTCAACAAAATTATAGACATTTAGCACATTCCATTAAAAAACAAACAAACAAAAAACCAAAGAAAAGAATAATATCCAGACAACAGCAAAGTTCTGTTGCTGTTGTGGTACCTGGCACCATTTTTTCTATTAGCCTCTTAACCCCTTTTTTCATATGTCTGGGAAGGGACATCTTTTCCAAGGTTAGCTGGTAACTCCTTTCTGCCTCTCCAAGTATTACATTACTTATGTCTGCAGTTTTTTGAGTTTTCTTTTTATTGAGTTTATTGGTACATTTTAGGTATACAGTACAGTTACATTCATTATTGGGATCTTGTACCTTTACATGGCTGGTCTTGGTTCTAATTTTTCCCCTTGTCCCTGCCCTCCCTTCATCCCCTCCTCCTCTCCCCATTTACAAACACTTCATTTCCATTTTTTCATTTTCTCATATTTTTTCTTTTCCCTTATTCCCTTTCCCCTACCCTTCCCACTTCCGCTACACCTTTAGCCCTTTTCTTCCTATTTCACATTGTTGAGTTTTCTATTGCTATTTCACCAGTGGCTCTTCCTGCTTAACCTGTAAATAAACTCTGCTTTCTTCTATCCTGCAATAACATAAGAAAAGAAAAGACAAACAAACACACCTCTCCTTGAACAGTCGTCCCTGATTCACCTTATAGATGACTTCTAGTAAAGGGATTTCCTTCCTCCAAACCCTCAAGTCTTGGGCTGGGGGTGTAGCTTAGTTGTAGAGTAGATAGTTAGTATGCATGAGGCCCTAGGTTTAATCTCTGGTGCCAGTACAAACACAAAACAAACAAAACCTTTGAATTCTTCCTCAGTCACTTTTTAAATGAAGTACAAATCTCAGTCCAATATTGAGGGTCCTTTGAATTTGGGCCCCAGTTTACCCTCTGGTTATAACTCCCATATACTTCCCTATGCTACAGCTGTAAAGTGATAACAATGCTTGAGGGACCACCACTTTTAAATTCACTTTGTTCTATAAAGTCACGGAGTATCAGAAACTTTGCTGCTTGAGATCCTGTCAGTAAAAATAAATCATCCCACATTTGTCTGCAGGACATAAGTTTCTTTGACACAGAGAACTAACCTTGATTTCCAACCTCAGTGCAGAGCTTCAGATAAGGAGTATCTGGACACAACATTCCAGGTCTATCTTTACTTTGTGGTTCACAAGGCTGCAGAGTCCAGACCTGATGGTGACCCCATGTGACAGTCCTGTTTTGCTTTGAGTTTATCAAGACACTGCTTCTTTTAAAATTCACCTGCAACCCATTCTTCCCCCTAATCCTATAACGACCTTATGTTTTACTTTGTGTGTTGAGATGACCATGATTTCTTTGGTGTGTGGTCTCTTCCCTGTAATAGGTCAAAAGCTTGACTGTTGGATTACAGTTTTGTCTCTGGTCACCTTACACTGATTGAGCTTGGATACAGATTTTTGTGTCCTTTACCGCTTAGGTTGTCCAAAGTACGCATTCAAAACTGTTCACTGCAGTAGACCCTGAACTAGAGTGCATGGATTCTAGTTAGATTACCTAGATTGATTATATGGATTCCAGTCTCAATTCTGCCAGTAATTTAATGAACACTCCATTTGGCCTAAGTTTTCGCTTCTTTAAAAAGTGAAGGATGGTGTTTCTTTCAACCTAAGGCAAGCCTTGGAATCAGATTTCAGTTGGTACCTACAACTTGCTAGTTCTGTAACTATTGCTTTTCTGAGTCTTTCTTTGTAATGATTAATTAATATCGATAATTGCAATATAGACTTTCAGGTGTTGCTATGAGGATCAGATTGGCTGCTACAAGCATCACTATATTTGATCACTATTCCTGGTCCTACAATTACATGAGGCTAGAAAAGTTACTTAACCTATCTGTGCCTCTGTATTCTTATTAGTAAAAACTGAGAAATAATGGTACATGCACGGCGTATAGCTATTGCAAACATTAAATATCATGAAAGAGGTAGGGGGTTTAGAACAATGTTTGACATATAAGAGATTCAAAATATATGATCCAATGTTATTAGTACGTATTAGAATTCTAATACTAAATACTGTGGGCCAAAAGGTCAGAATAAGCAGTTTCATTCTACAAAGCCAAAATCAAGGTACTTGCAGGCTGGAAACTGAAACAGAACGGTGCTTTGCTTTTCGAATGCAACTAACAGGCCCAATGTTGAGTTAGGACCCGCCCAGCCCTCATTAAATATGGCAGCGAGCTGGGGCTCCCTACGGCGCTTGCGCAGGTTGAAACTCCTCCCAGCAGCTTCTCCCTCAGCTGGGGTCCCGCCCACTCCACCC